TTCAGAATCCCCTTCCCCTCCCCCATTTCTGAAGAAGGGTCTAGGCCTGAAACGTCAGCCTTCCTGCTCCTCTGATGCTGCTTGCCTGCTGTGTTCATCCAGCTCTACACCTTATTATCTCAGATTCTCCAGCATCTGCAGTTCCTACTATCTCTGCGTATAAACATTTGAGTCTATGGTTAAGTGGTTAACTCAATTGGTTAACCTTTGTTTGTTTATTAACATAATGTTTATTAACATAGAGTAACTTTAATGCAGAAAAAAAATGACCCGTGGTACACAATGGAGCATGACGGAAAATGTAAATCATGCCCTGGAGTGAGAGATTAAAGTGGGAATTTGGGGTGTATTTGTGATAGAGAGGAATGGGACTGGAAATTCAGCTCCAGACAAAAAGAATGTTGAGAATGTACAAAGTCTGGTTCAGCCTGAAACAATGTCTAATGGTAGGGACAGAGTCGTCATGAGAGGCTGTAGTTTGTGGTGAGGGCAGATGGTGTCAGATTTGGTCATCCTAATGTTGACTGACAGAAATTAGGGATTATCCAGGGCTGGATATCAGGCAAATAATCTTAGAGGTTAGAGGAAGCAAAGAGATGGAGAAATATAGTGGAGGAATACAGCTGGAGGTCACTGTAGTGCATGCTTGTGGATAGTGGTAGCAAGCTGCAGGTTTGGAACACAGCAAAAGAGAAGTCAAGGATGGATCTTTGGGGAACTCTGGAATACAAAATTGTATTGCACTGATATAGCACCTTTGACAACCAATGGTATCTTAATGAGCTTCACAGCCAATGAAATATATTTGAAGTGCAGCCATTGCTGTAATTTCAGAAACATAGCTATCAGGTTAAATATGGCAAACTCTCATAAGTATCAATGTGATAGTGATCAGATAATGTGTTTTTTTTGTGAGTGATTGAGGGATAATTATTGTCCAGTCAGAAAGGAGAACCGTAAAAGATGTGTTGTGTAGTCATTGAATATTGTGAATATTTGACTGATACACAAATAATTGGGCATCAATTTATTCTCTAATCAGTGAATTAGCACATGGTTGGCTATGAGAACAATTTACATGAGTTACTGACTTACAGTAAGATTGGCATCCCATGTGGATAACCAAAATGGGAGAGAATGAAAAGTCCAATCAAAGAAACCACGATAGAATTGCAGCTAAATTGCAGACACAAGGGTTCCACTTGCACCACTTCCAGTGTGCTTCATAGTGCAACAAACTCAGGTTCAAGAACTGACAGTATCACAGATCAATGCCAATACAAGACAACAATCCTGTTGTCGGGATATAGGAGTTAATTTTAATTATGGGCACATGGGTTGCTAGTTATATGTTTGATCTGTGTTGACTTAAACAAATTCCCTTTGCTCTGTTCCCTTCTGTAAAAGGGAAGCACAAAGTACCTATGGAAACGGTCCTCCTGTTCCAGTCAGAGAGTCAAAAGGACATACAGCAGTGTATATATGTATATATACAGCTTTCCCAAAACAGAATGTAGTGCTTAATGGAAGCAACTTTTCTGGTATTTCCTACTATAACAAGGAATTCTTGGATGTTGGTAATGAATTGGGAACTCTCCACTTGATCTCCCTAAAAGGAAGGTAGCTTAATCAGAAATATCACGACAGTGAAAGCTTGAAAGAACACAAAGACATTGTGTTTTGATGGGGTTATATGCAACACTTGATGTATTCTTTCCGTTACCTGGTCTAAAGTTGTTTGTGAGACTGAGTATTCATCTATCTTCAACTGCTCTTTGTTGGAGATGAGTAACTGGAAGATTTTGGATAATGATGATGAAGACAGCTGATACTGTATCATGTTGTGATGTTTCTCTATTTGCAAGCTGTCAGGGAAGTTGCTTTTGAAGAATTCCTCAGCTGGATTCAGGTCAGGTGAAGCTCCAGGCTGAGTGCCTTTAATCTTCAAAGTCACCACGTAGCCATCACCAAACCTAATGAACAAGAGATGAATCAACAGTTTAGAAAGCACTTTCCCACAGTACGATATTCATTAAATCAATGAGTGACATGCAACTCATAAAGGAAAAGAAAACAAAAACAAAGTTGCTGGAAAAGCTGGTCTAGTAGCATCTGTGAAGGAAAAAAAAGAGTTAACGTTTTGGGTCCGGTGACCCTTCCTCAGAACTGGGACCTGAAATGTTAACTCTGTTTTTTCCTTCACAGATGCTGCCAGACCTGCTGAGCTTTTCCAGCAACTTTGTTTTTGTTCCTGATTTACAGCATCCACAGTTCTTTTCGTGTTCATTAAAGGAAAAGACCTGGTCTAAGAATTCATAACAAGCTAATTGTCCCAACTCAAAATTAATGCAGAGGAGTTAGGAAGGACGGAATGACCTTCCTCAATTGTACTTATCTGGCAGTGTTGTGAAACAGAACAAGTGTGCATTAGATTGTAATGGCATTACTGTAACATTATTCACTGTCTTCTAAAAATAATTACAAGAACTGAATCACATGCACAGATTGCTTTCTGGTAGCTGCCAAAAATACAGATTTGAAAAACATTCATTGCTTAAAGTCATGGGTGGGTTTCCCTCCCTAGGGCTAGGATTAAAGGGTTTGCCAATGTCCATTTCACAGGCACAAACTGCATGTGATTTTCTACCCATTAAAATAAACAGAAGGAAAATCAGAAGCAGTTTCAGGGCAAGTTTTTCCCGGAACTTAAAGCTTGTTGAAACCCATCCGAAAAACACGTAAACTCTGAGAGGTGGCAGCACAGCTGGGAAATGCTGGCAACAACCTTGAACCTACTTGTACTTGAGGTGCTGTATGGTACCCAGGCACTTGAACTGCCCGTTCACCATGATGGCCAGTCTTGTGCAGAGAGCTTCACATTCTTCCATACTGTAAAGTGAGCAGAAGAAAACGGTTACTTCTGGACATCTAGTGCAAGCAATTTATTTAAGTTTAAAAAGAGACTGCAAAACGGTTCACTCACCTGTGTGAGGTCAACACGACAGCTCTTCCTTCTCGGATAACACTGAGGAGACAATTCCAGAGGAACCTGCGAGATTTTGGATCCATCCCTGTGGTTGGTTCATCCTAAAGAACATATTAAACACCTTAGAAACATTACTATTAACCATGCTACAGCTAATGGCTCATAATTCAATCATGATCTGATAAGCTTTCCAGGTACCTATCACCCTCTGTATAAAACTTTCCTCCCATATCTCTTTTAAATTATTCCCCCTTTCCTTAAACCTATGCCCCCTAGTATTTGACATTTCCACCCTGGGAAAAAGACTCCAACTATCCATGATTCTCATAATTTTATATACTTAGGTTGCCCTTCAGCCTCCCAGGCTTTCGTGAACACAATCTAAGTTTGTCCAACCTCTCCTTATAGCTAATACACTCCAATCCAGGTAACATCCTAATAAATCTAAAATTGCATCTTCTCCAAAGCCTCCACATCATTCCTGTTGTGTGGTGACCTTGTGTTCTAGCTGAAGTTTTATACAACTGCAACATGACTTATCAACTTTTATACTCAATGCTCTAACTGATGAAGGCAAGCATGCCATACACTTTTTTTACTACTTTATTAATTTTCATTGCCACTTTCAGGGAGCTATGGACTTGCACCCTAAGATCCCTATGTATATCCATGCTCCTAAGGGTTGTACCATTTACTGTATACTTTCCTCTTGCATTTGACCTCCCATATTGCATCACATCACACATTAAACTCCATCTGCCATTTCTTTGCGCAACGTTCCAACTGATCTATATCCTCATCTGGATCCTTTGACAACCTTCCTCACTATCCGCAACTCCACCAAATTTTGTGTCATCTGCACTGATCCTCGTGAAACACTACTGGTAACAGACTTCCAGTCAGAAAAAAAACACCCCTTAACAACTATCCAGTATGATCAAGATAGTTTTGAATCTAACTAACCAACCCACCGTGGATCCCATGTGACTCAATGTTCTGGACGAGCCGACCATGAAGGAATTTGTCAAATGCTTTACTAAAGTTCAAGATCTGCTGGGTTTCATCAAATGTTGAGTATGGGCTCGGCCATCAATGTGGTGGCCCAGAATTTCAAAGGATATTGTAAAAATGATTTCTAATTGCCAAATATGTGCAGTATGTTGACCATTATAGGGGACAAGAATGCAATTTCCTTTTGAAAACTAAAGGTGAATCCAGTGTCACCACTTTATCAGTAAACATATCTCGGATCACAACAAGACACTGAATAAAAATTCTCTTCTTCTCCCTTCTGGCTCCTTTGCTAATCATATGAAGCCTAGCTCCTGTTAGTGGAAAACAGTTTCTCCCCATATAATCTCCTAAATCCCCTCACGTCAGTTACTGAACTGGCGCTGTGCGACTTCATTTCTTTGACATGGGCATCCTGACATCATGCAATAGTTTATAATTCCCCCTGAACATTCAGGCACGGTGACATCCATGAGGCAGTTCAGATATGCTGCTGGGACGGGAGTCAAGGAGGATGAGGGCATCTACCAGCAAGACAACAGGAGGGCAGCCGATGAGGGCGATGGCTGTGGAGAGTTTACGCTTGTTCCCTCCGCTGTACGTGCCAGCTGTCTGATCAGCATACTCTGCCAGATCCAGCTTTTCAATCCCCCAGTTGGCAACCTGCAAATGGGAATTAAAAGAAATTTAGCACCAAAATACCAGTGAATCTGTCAGCTACTTATTTCTGGGGAACACCATTTGAGTCACAGACTTGAATATTTTGTGGTGGGAAGGTCACATTCTGTTTGTGTTCTGGGCAGTGAACTCTTGGGCTTCCCTCATCCAACTCTTGTTCCAAGTGAAGCAGTGAATTATCCATATTTTCCTTCAATCTATTCAAGCGCATTCGCTGCCCAGAATATGGTCTCCTCTACACTGGGATGACCAAATGTAGATTGGGTGACCACTTTACAGAATGCCTCCACTCAGACTGCTAGCATGACCTGGAGTTTCTGGTTTCATTTCAATTCTCTACCTTATTCTCATGTTGACAGCTCTGTCCTCAGTCTGCTGCAGTAATCAGTGAAACTTAATGCAAGCAGAGGAACAGAACCTCATTCTTTGACTGGACTGTTTACTGGACTCAACATAGAGTCTCTCCAGCAATTTCTGTGTGTGTGATTAAAAAAATTAAAAGACTGGAAATATTCAGCCAGTTAAGTAGCATCTGTGAAGAGAGAGAAATAGTTAACATTCGGCTGTGTGACCTCTCAACAGAACCGGGAAAATTATTTTGTTTTTGGCAGCGGTGTTACAATAAGGCCCGAAAAAGAATGCAAGACTGATGTCCATTAATTCTCCAATGCTGAGCATATGGAATAAAGCTTTGGAAGTATCTAAAGAACCAGAGCTGTAAAATCCTCTTTTATGTAATTCTCAAAAATGCACACTTACTAAGACATTTTACGAAATATTTTGCTTGCAGCCGTTACTTTGACACATCCTTTGTTTAAAGATTATACTAGGAACAAGGTGGTTTAGGAATTAAGGCAACTTGTATATACTTGGTTCCTGGCAACTAATGAGGCATTGAGACTTCAAATGTAGCCCTACTAATGTCTTTTACAGGTGTAATATCTCCCAACTCCTATACTCAATACACTGACTGATGAAGGCAAGTGTGCCAAATACCTTCTTCAGTACTCTGTCTACATATGATGGCACTTTCAAGGAGGCTGACGGGTGACCTTATAGAGGTTTATAAAAAATCGTGAGAACCATAGACAAGATGAATAGCCAAGGTCTTTTCTCCAGGGTAGGGGAGTTCAAAACTAGAGGGCATAAGTTTAAGGTGAGAAGGGAAAGATTTAAAAGGGACCAGAGGGGCAACTTTTTCACACAAAAAGTGGTGCATATATGGAATGAGCTGCCAGAGAAAGTACAAATATAACATTTGGACACATACATGGATAGGTAAGGTTTACAGGGATAAGGGGAAAATGCAGGCAAATGGGACTAGTTCAATTTAGGATAACTAGTCAGCATGGACAAGTTGGGCTGAAGGTTCTGTTTCTGCACTTGTATGACTCTGAGTCTATGACTGAGGGAGTGGGGGGAGAGGGAGAGCATGCAGACAGGAAGTGATGTCCCAAATGATAAAGCCGAATATGCTACAGGAAAGAAATAATTTCTGCAGTCCTTAGACTTAAAGTAATTTTCAATTTAAGGTCCTAAGGAAGAATTTTGAACATTGTAAAATTTAGTTAAGGCAAAATTCTGCAGATACTGGAAATCTGTAAAAATCACAAAAAGTGCTGGAGAAACTCAGCAGGTCTAGCAGCATCTTTGGAGAGGGAAACAGAGTTAATATTTTGAATCTGGTAGGACTCTTTTTCAGAACTGAAGGGATTAGAAAATGGTGTTTTTTATACTTTTGACAGAAGTCGAGGGGGAGCAAGGGGGACGGATGGTGTGGAGCTCAATATAAAAGAGGTTACTGATTGATGTGAAAGAGAACTAGTGATGTAAAATGGGTGTAAATTAAGGTGTGGAACAGTGAAAAATGGCTCTTAGTGTGAATATAGTGAATTTCTACACAAAATCCTTGCAGCTTAACAGCTTAGAATCAATGCCAGGACTGAAATCTAAGATTTGCTTTGCCTTTATTTTGTGCTGTATTTGTTCAGTTCACACCATACTCTGTTAGCACAGATGATTTGAAAGAATTTTGAAGTTCTTCACAATGAATTTAATGTGAAACTGCTGGATTTTGTCAAAATCACTTAAGCAGCATTTTGTTTGCTTTGTGAAGTTTAACCCTGAAAAGTGTGAGGTGATTCATTTTGGAAGGACAAATTTGAAAGCAGAATACAGGGTTAGTGGAAAGATTCTTGGCAATGTGGAGGAGCAGAGGGATCTTGGAGTTCATGTCCACAGTTCCCTGAAAGCTGCCACCCAGGTGGATAGAGTTGTTAAGAAGGCGTATGGTGCGTTAGCTTTCATTTAATAGAGGGATTGAGTTCAAGAGCTGTGAAGTTATGCTCCAGCTATACAAAAGCCTGGTTTGGCCACATCTGGAGTATTGTGTCCAGTTCTGGTCACCTCATTACAGGAAACATGTGGAAGCGTTGGAAAAGGTGCAGAGGAGATTTACCAGGATGTTGCCTGGAATAGAGGGAAGGTCTTACAAGGAAAGGTTGAGAGAGCTAGGGCTTTTCTCTTTAGTACGACGAAGGATGAGAGGTGACTTGATAGGGGTGTACAAAATGATCAGAGGTATAGATAGAGTGGACTTCTTCCTAGGGTGGAGGTAGTTAACATGAGGGGCATAGTTTTAAAGTGAGTGGAGGTAGATATAAGGGAGACGTCAGAGGTAGCCTCTTTACTCAGAGAGTGGTAGGGACGTGGAATGCATTGCCGGAGAGGGTAGTGGAGTCGGCCTCATTAGGGGCATTTAAGTGGCTGTTAGATACGCATATGGATGATAGTATAAGGTAGGGGTGGAGGTTAGATAGACCTTAGGTTTAGGGTAAAAGTTCGGCACAACATGGTGGGCTGAAGGGCCTGCACTGTGCTGTACTATTCTATGTTTATATTACCTCATTTAAAACTTGATCCAGCACTTCAAGTCTCTTCATTGTGTTGCAAATACCACTCCCTGTGACCTCCTGCTGCCCCACAACTGAAGGAAATATTTGCACTGCCTAGTCCCTGAACCCTGGAAAACACTCTGTCTGAACTCTCTGCTTCTTTGCTTCTCTCTTTCCTTTTAAAACTCTCCTTAAAATATGTCTCTGACTAAGTTTTGGTTATCTGTCCAAACAACCCTCCTTATGTGTCCCTGTATCAGTTTTGTGAGATAATATTCCAGCAAAGCACTTTGGTATGCTTTACTATGGTAAAAGCATTCTTTGAAGAATGTATCCCCCTCTTTATATAAATGAATGAATACTACAGAAGCAGTCAATGAGTTATATTTGTGTCATGTGACAAAGTGCTTGACTATTTCTGTACTTTATATTGTTTCTGCCTGGCAGTCTTTTCAGCACAACATGGAACATTTATCTGAGATCTTTATTCGTCTTCAGTATTTAGCAATTGAAGATTTTTAATTCACTGAAACATTATCGCAAACCCTCTCTTCTCTTGATGTGCTGCTTTCAATTCTAGCTGTGACACAAATTGTGAAAGGTACTCATTGGCTGACTTACCTGTTCAATCTCATCCTCTGGAATACCGCGCAGCCTTGCGTACAGTAAAAGGTGTTCACGGCCTGTCAGGAAGTCATCGATAGCATCAAACTGAGGGCAGTATCCCATGTTCTGGTGGACATCGTCAATATGGGTAAAAATGCTGGGAAGATTCACAAAACAAAGCAACTGAGTTTTAAGAGAAAGCTGCATTATCAAAGATGGTGCATTGTCACACTTCTAACGAAGATTCAAAAAAAGGGCTTTTTGTTTTTGCTGAAATTTATTAAGAAATATCAAAATTGACTTTATAATGGTGCCAGTGAGTGTGTGGTTTAGTTAACACTGCAGTATACCTGTAGCCTGCTACTGAAGCTTCACCTGAGGTCGGATCTATATCACCTGTCAGCATTTTGAATGTAGTCGTCTTTCCAGCACCATTGACACCCAACAGCCCAAAGCACTAAAGTACAGAAGAAAAATACAGATTTATGCTTTGTTATCCTGTTTAATGAATTGAGAAAGCCAATGTAGATCTATGGCTGCTAACATACGTCTTTGAAGGATAAAGCATACCTCTCCTGGGCGCACACCAACACTGATTCTATCCACAGCTGGTCTGTTTCTCCCTGAATAATACTGTAGGAACAAAATTCCTCATGAGTTCAATCTGTTGACCTGTCTCACAGAAATCCACATTAATAGGCTGCCTAGGTTCCACTCACTTTGGTCAGTTCCTTTATTTTCAGAATGTCGTGCTTGCCTGTACCCCGAATTCTTTCGCGTTCCTTAGCTACATCATCATCCTCTTCAATGGCAGGTAAGTTGCTGAGGATTGGTGGCCTGTAACAAGTAGGAAGATATTCAGCGTAGGTGCTGCTACATTGGTTAAAAGACTGATTAAAAGTGTTGAATGGACCCGGATTAATGTCATGTGTGACTGACGGATGAAACATGGGTTACCAGTGTGTAATAGTAAGATGAGTCGCATTGTCTGAAGTTTCCATCAAATGCTGGATGCATTTGTCAGTGAACAAATAGTAGAAGATATCAACTTTTCAACAGAATATTAGCTGTCAAGTTAGTGAAGTTACACAGGTATTGAAAAATTACAATTAAAATTAAATCATGCACTGAGGGACTGATTGTAAAAACAACAGATTCATGGTAAATTGACAACAACTTTGCAATGTACCAGAAATTGAAGCCTGTTTATGTTACAGGTTTAGGCCAATTTTACCCCATAAGCTTCCAGATCTAATCCCGCACCATTTTCACTCATCCATTACTCCTATCTTTGCTGATCTGTTGTCGCTTTCTTCCCCTGCAACTCCAAAGTAAATATTTTTAGCCCTTATAATTAAATTCCTCCATGGCCTATTCTCTCCTTATTTCTATAACTTCCTCTAACCTACAACTATCCAGTTCGTCCTGCTCTAATCTCTCAGGCATCCTTCAATTTTTTCACCCCATCATTGGTGTATATGACTTCAACTACCTCAGTTCTAGGATTTCTATCCTTATCTCAACTGCTTTTCACTTCCTCCTCCTCCTTTATGACTGTTCTTAAAAATTGCCCCTCCCAATCTTACCTCACTCAGTTCAGTGCTCATTTTCTTTCTGATTCTGCTGATGAAGAATCCTAAGAGGTTGTTTCATGCACATTTGTAATGGTAAAGGATTACAACTCTCCCCACTGCTTTGGTGCTGGTGCATTACAGTTCACTCAGGGAGTCCAGGGTACTGTGGGACATTTTTACAAGTCTGGAGTCACAGATAGCGACAATAAAGGGCTCAATTTATGGCTGATCGGGAATTAGTCCCACACTTACTGTCTCCATTGGCATATGTCAGAAGGATTTGCAAGTCAATGATCCATCTGTCTGGTTGCATTATGATTGCACCTCCCTTGGCCATAGGTTTCTGGTGTAGAACTTGATTTGGACCGAGATTCTGGCTTAGAGGCAGGGGCTTTACACTCTGTGTCACAAGTCCTCCCCTGTACTGCTTTAAAACCTCTGAATTAATATCCTTTAGTTTCCATAACCTCAAAGCAGCACTTAAAATACACGAGGAAATCCATTCCTGAAAGCCCCCAGAATACTCAGAAATATTAACTCATTGGGGAGGTGATGGCCTATAGCATTATCACTAGAGTGTTAATCTAGAGACCCAGATAACATTCTGGACCCGGATTCAAATCCTGCAATGGCAGACGGTGGAATTTGAATTCAATAAAATATCTGGAATTAAAAATCCAATGATCACCATGAATCCTTGTCGATTGTCGGAAAAACCCATCTGGTTCACTGATGTCCTTTAGGCGAGGAAAGTACCATCCTTACCTGGTCTGGCCTACATGTGACTCCAGACCCACAGCAATGTGGTTGACTCTCAAGTGCAATTGAGTGCAATTACCCAATTGCAATTGCTCTCTGGGCAATTAGCGATAGGCAATAAATGCTGCTTAGCCAGCGATGCCCTCATCCCATTAATGAATAAAGACCAATCAAAGCAAAGTTGCCTCTATACATAGCAATGACAGAATCTTCAGCTGGACCAGTCTGTACAGTTGTGGGCACCACATTATAGAAAAGATGTGAATGCATTGGTGCAAGTGCAGAAATGATTTACCGGAATGATTCCAGGTTTGAGAAACTTCGTTTGTGAAGACAGGTTGGAGAATTTGGACTGTTGGCCCTGGACAGAAAAGGCTAAGAAGAGATCTGATTGAGGTTTTCAAAATAGGGCTGGGTAGAGTAGATGGGGAGAAGCTGTGCCCCCTCATATAAGAAACAAGAATGAGAGGGCATAGATTTAAAGTGATGTGCAAACAAAGCAAGGGTGATGTGAGAAAAAAACTGTTTCATACTGCCAATGTTTAGGGTCTGGCATGTACTACCTGGAAATGTGGTGGAAGCAGGTACAATTGAAGCATTCAAGACAGCATTGGATTTTTTTTTGTATAGTAATGGTACAGGGATTTGGAGTAAAAGCAGGAGATTGGTACTAATTTATAGAGCTGGACTAGATAATAGACAAGGTGCAGGCAAGATAGGCTGAAGGGTCTCCTTCTGGTCCATAACTCCATCTGTGATTCTGTGAGGAGCAGTTCTTCCACTCACAGGCTGGTTCTCGGTTTTCTACTGAGAAACTGATAGTGAGCATTGATGTGCACACAACCATTTGCTGAGGGGGGAAAAGGAAGCACCCATGTAGGTGGGGTGAGGTAGAGTGCTCAAAGAGAGGTGCAAGAAAGGAGGCTACAAGAGGGGAGGCAGATGAGAGGGTTGCTTCAAGTGGGGATGAAGAGGGAGGCTGCAAAGGAGACGAAACAGTTTTATATCTGTCAACAAAACAACACTCAGCTAACTAGGAGGCAGGGAAACTTTAAAAATCACAGAGCTAATTAAATCCTTGCAAATTAATGTGGAATTTCTGGTTTATTGTTGCAATATGGGGAAAGAATGTAATAGATGCTATTGTACTGAAGTTAAATTTAAGATTGAGATCCATAATGAGGTAAAAAGGGTGGTAATTGGTTAAAGTCTTCTGGCTTTGTGCATATGCTGGACCTCACCAGTTTGTGTAAAGTATGTTTAGGGTGATTTTTGTTTTTGTGTAGATATTTGTCAATTATTTTGAGAAAACATTTTATTGCTAACCTATATCCATTGACTAGTGCCAATATAGATACTTTAATGACTGAAAATTAACGCTTTCCTTGTGTTATGACTTTAAGTTTAATCGATGGGCAATAATCATTAATCATCTTTTGTGTAAGTCCAAATAGCATTGTGGGTCGACTCACAGCTGGTGGACTGTAATGGTTTAAGGAGGCAGCTCACTACCACCTTCTCAAGGGCAACTAGGGACAGGCAATAAATGCTGGCCGACCAGTGACACCCACATCCCACAAGTAAATATAAGAAAAAAATAGCCAATATGTCAACACAAATAAAGATAATGTTATCAAATGACTCTATCACCTAGCATAAATGTGATAATGAGAAAGGGGCCCCTGAAAATCACAATATAGTTCTCAAGAAAACTTCAAGAAGACTGCTTGAAAAAGTATTCATTTTGATGTATAACCCCTGGCAGGAAGGATTTAAACAAGTTGTAAAGCTACAGCATAAGTTGTTTGGAATGCCTGATGAATGAATGGTTCGTATCATGACACAGGACTTGCAAAATTAAAACTTTTCACATTAGTGTTGTGAAAGTTAGGGAGTGATCTGGGAGAGGTTTTTATCATGATAAATCATTCTGGTTAAGTACAGGAAGATGGTAAAAAGGGGCACAAATTGAAGATAATTACAAATGTTTCCTGGAGAGTGATTAGAATGTGAGATCTACAACTCCAAATTGCTGCTGAAAGAGTCATAGAGATTTACAGCATGGAAACATACCCTTTGGTCCAACTTGTCCATGATATTCTAAATTAACCTAGTCCCATTTGTTCATAAGATATAAGGATAGAATTAGGCCACTCGGCCCATTGAAGTCTGCTCTGCCATTCGATCATGGTGGATGTGCTCCTCAACTCAATTTTCCTGCCTTCTCCCCATAATCCTTCAATCCACTACCAACTAAAAATCTGTCTAAATCCTCCTTAAATTCACTCACTATCCCAGCATTCACCGCACTTTGGAGTAGTGAATCCCACAGATTCACCACCCTTTGGGAGAAGTAATTTCTCCTCAACTCTGTTTTAAATTTGCTATCCCCTTATCCTAAGACTACAAGCTCTCGTCCTAGAATGCCCCACAACAGGAAACATCTGCTCCATGTTTATTTTATCTGTACTTTTTATCATCTTTAATATCTCAATTTGATCTCCCCTCATTCTTCTAAATTCCAGAGAGTATAGGCCTGAACTGTTCAATCTTTCTCCATATGACAAGCCCCTCATCTCTGGGATCAATCTAGTGAACCTCCTCTGAACTGCCTCCAATGTCACGACATCTTTCCTCAAATAAGGGGACCAAATCTGTGCATAATACCCCAGGTGCGATCTCACTAATGCCTTGTATAGTTGCAACAATACTCCCTTACATTTATATTCTATTCCTCTAGCTATAAAAGCCAACATTCCATTCACTTTCTTTATTAACTGCTGTACCTGCATGCTAGTCTTCTGTGACTCAGGAATGAGTGCATCCTGATCCCTCTGCACCAGAGCACCCCAGATTCTCTCCCCATTTAGATAATAGGTCGCCTTCCTATTTTTCTGACTAAAATGCATGACCTTGCACTTATCCACATTAAACTCCATCTGCTACATTTTGGCCCACTCTCCTAACTATCTATATCCATTTGTAAGGTTCTTATTTCCTCATTGCAATTTACCGTACTGCCTATTTTTGTGTTGTCCACAAATTTGGCGACAGAGCCTCCTATCCCTGTATTCACATCATTAATGTAGATGATAAATGGCTGGGGTCCAAGACCAAACCCTGTGGCAGCCATCTAGTTACTTCTTGCCATCCAGAAAAAAACCCATTTATCCCGACCTTCTGTCCATCAGCCAGTCACTTATTCAAGCTCATAAATTACCCCTAATCCCATATGATCCAAACTTGTGAATTAACCTTTTGTGCGGCACCTAATGCAACTCCACATATATTACATCTACAGCATTCCCATTATCCACTTTGCTTGTTACATTTTTGAAGAACTGTAGCAAATTAGTCAAACATGATTTGCCCTTCATAAAACCACGCTGACTCATGTGGATAGCGTTTTGACTTTCGAAATGTCCTGATACTTGCTTCCTTGATCATTGATTCTAATATTTTGCCAACAACAGATGTTAAACTAACTGGGTTGTGATATCCCACATACTGCCTCCCTCTCTTTTTGAATAAGGGTGTTATATTAGCATTTTTCCAATCCACTGGAACCTTTCCCATGTCCGGGGAATTTTGGAATATTGTAACCAATGGATCCACTATCTCTGCTGCCACTTCCTTTAATACCCTAGGATGCAGGCCACCAGGCCTGGGGGACTTGTCTGCCCTCAATCCTTAGTTTGCTGAGTACCTTTTCCCTGTCAATGTTGATTGTTCTAAATTTTACCCTTTCAATTGCCTCTGAAATGCCTGTTCTAATAGGAATGGTGCTATTGTCCTCCACCGTGAAAGCTGAGGCAAAATATTGATTTAGCATCTCTGCCATTTCAGTGTTCCCCACCATTAACTCTCCAGTTTCATCTTCCAAGGGACCAACATTTACCTTAGTGACTCTCTTTCCTTTTATATACCTATCGAAGTTTTTGCTATTCTTTTTGATATTTTGTGCTAGTTTTCCTTTGTAATTTACCTTAGCATTTTTTGTTAATTTTTTTAGAATCCCTTTGTTTATGTTTGAAACTTTCTCAATCCTCCAGCCTCCCATTGGCCTTTGTAAATGATATATCTTACTTTTTGACTTTATTTTGTCCTTGACCTCCTTGTTTAGCCATGAATGCTTTTTACCCCAAACCCCTTACCACCTTTCTTCCTATTCATATACCCATCCAGATGCCTTTTAAAGTTGTGATTATACCAGCCTTCACCACTTCTTCTGGCAGCTCATTCCATACAACACCACCCTCTGCATGAAAAGTTGTCCCTTAGGTCCCTTTTAAGTCTTTCTCCTCTCACCTTAAACCTATGCCCTCTAGTTTTGGACTCCCCTGCCCTGGAGAAAAGACATTGATTCACTCTATTCATGCCCGTCATGATTTTATAAACCTCTATAAGGTCACCCCTCAGCCTCTGATGGTCCTGGGAAAATAGCCCCAGTCTATTCAGCCTCTCCCTGTAGCTCAAACCCTCCAAACCTGGCAACATCATTAAATCTTTCCAGAGCAAATATGCTGCTTGAAAAGCAGGAATAGCAAAAGATATGGAGAGTGAGCCTGGGTAAAAATACAACAAAATAAAATGTTGGCCATAATAAGACATAGTGGAAGGATACATTAAAAGCTGGAGAAAAATGTGTACGTACAGGTTGGTGAGGAAGAAGCGGTGTTGGATAATGAGATTTAAAAGGAAGTAGACTACTCCTTCCACTGCCATGGCTGTGAGGTTCTTGCCAACAAACTCCCAATGGAATGGACTAAAATAAAAATCTTCACCTGCAAAGCAAAATTCAGCACATTACCAATACGTGCACGTGTGTCTAACCGATGAGAGCAATTCTGACTTCCTATCAGAATTAGAACTGCATATGCTCTTAAAACATAGACACCTTAACTTCCCTCCCAGACTCCATCTGCATGTACATGGGTATGATAACTTTAAGTGAACAAAATGCGCACTACTATTTTCAATGTACAGAGGGCATTCTACCCATTTGAAGGGTTGTCCTTACCCATATCCCTGCAATTCTTTTCCCCTTCAATAACTTATCTAATTCCCTTTAGAAGGTTGCTATTGAATATATAAGCATGATGGGCTGGGTTTCTCTCTACATCATGCCCCTAATGTGCACAAAAGTCAGAGGATAAAGGGGTAAATGTCACAGACTAAGTCTCCCCAACTTTTCATTTGGCAACAATGTCCTGGGTCAGGAAGTGATGTACTGACAATGCTACTGGACTAGTAATCCAGAACCTCAGGCTAATGTTTTGAGAATGTGGGTTCAAATCCCACTGTAGCAAGACGGTGAAATTTTTTTAAAAATTCATTCACAGAATGAGGGCATCGCTGGCCAGGCAGCATTTATTGCCCATCCCTAATTACCCAGAGGGCAGTTAAGAGCCAAGCACATTGCTGTGGGTCTGGAATCACATCTAGCCCAGAGCAGGTAAGGACAGTGGTTTCCTTCCCTAAAGGATATTAGTGAATCAGATGGGTTTTCCCCCTGATAATCAACAATGGATTCATGGTTATCATTAGACTCTTTAATTCCAGATAGTTATTGAATTCAAATTCCACCATCTGCCATTTGAATCTGGGACACCAGAACGTTATCTGGGTCTCTGGATTAACAGTCCAGCGATAATACCATTAGGCCAATGCCTCTCCCCAGGAATCTGAATTCAGTAAAACACTGAACCAAAAAGCTAGCTGATCTGTGACCATGTGACCACTGATGATAATTATTAAAAATCCATCTGATTCACTAACATCCTTTGGGGATGGAAATCTGCTATCCTTACCTGGTCTGACTTGTAGGTGACTCCAGACCCACAGCAACATCGTTGATGGACAATAAATGCTGCCCCAACTAGTGATGCTCACATTCCAGGAATGAATTGTAATAAAACAAATGGCTGGCAGTATCCTTAAAATGGCAATCAAGAATCTCATGGGTCCTATCTACATATTCATAGAATCCCTACAGTGCAGAAGCAAGCCATTTGGCCCATCAAGTCCACACCAACCCTCTGAAGAGCATCCCACCCAGACCATCTCTCTACCTATCCCTGTAACACTGCATTCCCCATGGCTAACCTGCACATCCCTGGGCACTATAGCATGGCCAATTCACCTAACCTGCACATCTTTGGACTATGGGAGGAACCGGAGTATCCAGAGGAAACCCAGACAGGGGAGAAGGTGCAAATTCCACATAGACAGTTGCCTGAGGGTGGGATTGAACCCAGGTCCCCTGACACTGTAAGGCAGCAGTACTAACCACTGAGCCACCATGCCAACCCATATTTGATGGCATAATTGTGGAACATTGGATGTGGGCTCTCTGACTCTCAGCACAGCCAAAATTACTGCTGAGGAGGTATAAAAATACGGATGTCCCTTCCTCCAATCTGATAGAGGCATTGATTACTGACTGATCAGGATAATAACATCAGTAGAACTCAACAAACAGAATGGATTCAGCCTACGTCAGGTTAGGTGTTCAGAAAGTAGAGATGCTGGAGGGGTGGGGAGGAATTTTTAATTATTTCTGATAGCTTTGTCTTCAGAGTGTGGTCAATTCAGAAAGTGGTCACATTGTGGAGTGGGTGAGACAAAACAAAACATTGATGCATTTAAAACAAATTTGAATGAGCACATGAGAGAGAAAGGAGTACAAGGGTATACTGTTAATGTTGCAGACCATAAACACCATCCAGAGTACTGAGGGTGAAAGGACTGTTTCAATACTGTACACTCACTGTAACAGGAGCAATATAACATTCATGGACAAACCCTGGTTGGTCCAAGCTGGCAGCGGTGAATCTTCTTCTTCAGTTTCTTCAAACCTTTGGGGTCATGTCGCTCCCAAAATAATAAATTGAACCCAGCTCTATTTCTACCTGAAGATAATCTTAAGTAGGAAGTATATTGTGCTCCATGCTGCCCATGTAACTTGCAGGATGAGAAACCAGCTGCCTGGTTTGGACATGAAATGGGGAGTGAAGCCTCTGATATGGTGTGCGGTGTCCACAGGCTCTGTCTGTGTCAGAAGGGCAATGCATGCTGCAGTGGTTAAAGTCTCGAGGAACATGGTGTCTGCAGTACACTACCGTTGCCCACAGCAGGCAAACTACTGGCTTATAACTAACAGCTGGAGGCTGCCAGTAAGCAAAGCAAAGGACAACATTTTATAGTTAACCTGACCATCAAACCAGGATGACTACATGTGGTCCCAATTGTTTCATCCATCTCATGACTTATCTACTGCCCACAGCAGGCAGGACTAAGCGGTCCGCTTGAATGGCACCACATCCCCAAACACCCACTCCCCCCACCACCGATGCTCAGTAGTAGCAGTGTGTACAGTTTACAAGATGCACTGCAGAAATTCATCCAAAGCTCCACAGGCAGTCAGTGACACCCACATCTAATGAAAGTACAAGAAAGAGTTCACACCACATTAGAACCTGGACATTAAAATACTCTTCATCTGTACACTGAAGACTTACCAAACCTAGCATATACATCAGTCACTGCTTGATTCATGGCCATATCGATCAAACCTCTTCCCAGACAAAAGTGTGGAAATATGATTAGAATATTTTTCAATATTTTATTAAACATTTGCAACGCCTGGAACAGAGCAGAAACATGACTGTTAGCAATAGGCACTGGTTACAGGCCAAACACTACTGAAAAAACATACAAGGCTACTGAGTATCACTCTGTCATTTATTGCCATGTATCTGTGCCAACCATCCATTAACCTGTATCACTGCTAACTATTCAACATATTACATGACTGCCAATCACATTACTCATACTGATCACTACCAGCCATCCATTACATTGTACTTCTGTCAGCCACTAAACACCATTTACCAGTAAGCATCTCTTGCACTTTATCATTGCGATCCATCTGTTCATTTGTCCCCCTGCCAATGACCTATTGGCCAATGTTGCAGCAACTCAACTATTACCCACCGTTGTCTATCTATGGCCCTGTTTCACTTTTGAACTTTGACAGAACAACAGAATTGTAATTGGCTGTAAAAATTGTTTAAGAGTGAGATGTTTTCAAGGATTTGTTTATAGAACCAGTAAAGTGTTCACATTAGATGGGACTGGTGCACGTTTAAATATGATTGGCAAAATATCTCCAAATGAAATGCAGCGAGTGGTTAGGATCTGGAATGCACTGCCTGAGAGTGTGCTGGAGGCAGATTCAATTATGGATTTCCAAAAGGAATTGGATGGTTATTGGAAGAGAAAAGGTTTACAGGGCTTTGTGGGTGAAGGAGGCGTGAGATTCTGGAGGACTAACTCAGTTGTCCTTGTGATCGGACAGTGATTTGATTTTTGATTTGATTTATTGTTGTCACATGTACTGAAGTACAGTGAAAAGTTGGTTTTGTGAGCAGTGCAGGCAGATCATAACATACAAAGACATACAGACCATAGGGTGTTTCACAAAGCAAAGCATACAAGGTTATGGCTGCACAGGAGGTGCACAAAAGAAAGATCAATATTAGATTTGAAATTAGAGAGGACTATTCAGCAGTCACCTGGGCTGAATGATCTTCACTACTGCACCCACTCTATGGTTTCATGGTAAGAGCCTATTCAGCATTTACTTCTTTGTCCGATCAACAAATATGGTCACCAGATAAATCATCAAATCTCTTCCTTGTTTTGGCGAAAATGGCAAAACTAATGCATGATTCAGAGACAAATGAAAACCAAAGAGAACCCACCCTATTATTTTCAAACAGCTCAAGAATGAAAGTGGCAGCGCTGCCATTGATACCAATGAAGAGATTGATGCAGGACAGAGCCACGTAGGCTGTGCTAGGAACACTGAAGACAAAAGATGCTGGGTACATCATGGGAGTCACTGCCCATCTGGTTAAAAAGAGAGAGACAGGAGTCACACTGCTGGCCTTAACATTGAAAGACAAAAACTGATAAAGCAAAGGTAGCAGAAACAAATGAGGGAGGCTGCTGAGAATGGTCTTACCCATAGAACAGCAACAAAGCTATGAATGCAGGCAGGTTTTGAGGAGAAGTGTAAGCTTTCTTATTGAAGCCAATAAAGATCAAGACTACCATCACTGTGGTTACTGAATAGTTACACTGAGAAACAAAAAGACATTCAGGTTTCAGTTTCAAGACAGTGTTGCAAATGCTGCCAGATAACATAACTCACAAAAACATTTGCGTTCATAGTCCTCTCACTTTGAGATCCGTTGTTCTACCTAAATATTCTGAGGAAAGTTCAGCCTCTCCAGAAGGATTGAAAGAATAACATATAACACATACCTACTTTGCAATCCTTTTGTTACCATTTCTTCTAAATCTGTCAAACTGTACCTTCAAATGCCACAGCATATCATTGCTCCTGTGCACTAACATCAGAACTAAGAGAAGCATCAAATTCAAACTGTGCATCCCAGAGCAAATAAATTGGCAGAGAATGTTAGCACTCCAATTATTTAATCAATTTATGTTTACTTGTCCACAGGATGTGAGCATCGCTGGCTGGGCCAGCCTTTAATACCCATCCCCAAATCCCTAGTGGGCAATTAACAGTCGACCACATTGCTGTGGATCTTGAGTGACATCGAGGCCAGGCTAGGTAGGGACAGCAGATTTCCTTCCCTTAAGGACATAAGGGAGCTAGATGGGTTTTTATGACAATCAACTGTAGTCACTGTGGACTAGCTTTTCATTCCAGGTTTTTATTGAATTAAAATTTCACCATCTGCCATGATGAGATTTGAATCCATGTTTGCTGGGCATTAACCTCGGGCTCTGGACTACTTGCTCAGTGACACTACCAATATACCACTCCCCCACTCACATCAAAAAGGCTCCTTCACAGGGTCAGCATTCTGTTCCTAAATTACTTTATAATCCATCCAGAATTCAAAAGATATTCACAGTCTATTTAGTTCACTGACCCAGTGCGTGGCAATTTATTATTTTGCAGGCAAACAAATTTCACAAAAATTGGTTGAAAAGGATTTTCACTCAGTAGTTTAGAGCTTGAATATTGCTGAAAAGAGAGTCACGTGCTGAAATCTTTCAGCCTGCTCCAATCAGGATATATGCAAGAATTCTAAATTTCAAACAATCACGCCAATTCATGTGGGTTGGTTGACAAGTCGACTCTGAGTAATCAAGGCATTTTCAGGAAGGAAGCAACAGGGATAGGTGCTCCACACTCCCTGTTGTGTAAGTTGTTGAGATGATTCAAAATTTTGTATTCTTGCATTTGTTCTGATGAATGCACGATGAAAACTTCAGCAATGCCTCTTTTCCCATAAATATTGATCATTATATGCTCTTTTTCTCAGGATTATAGGGTCATTGGACTCTATAAGCTCATCTAAAAATTATAAACTTTTGTATAAATGTTTGGGCCTCATAGATTTCCAACTGTGTTGTGTTAGTGAATTGTGTTACAATTTTAGACTAAAACTGTAATACTGAACATCTCAAGATGGATAACATGTTATCAGATATTGTTAACAACACTTATTGTCTGCAAATTCTGGTTAACTACAAATTCAATTGTATGACAAGTTGTAACATACCATATCCCAGAGAAAATTCGACACCCAGTAAGTAGTATGGCTCGTTCCACTGACAAATTGAAGATGCTTAGCATTTGAAACTCTCTCCTGAATGAGGTAAAGCACAAAGCTGGCTGGGACAAAAGACATGGCGAAGACAACACTGATTGAAATCACTGCATCCAATGAGGTAGTAAGACTGAAAGGTAGAAACATCAGTAAATAGGACAAAACTCTAATGAGAGAGGCTAATATGTAATTAATTTAATTGTCACAGCACACTTTCAGAGATTACTTTCCAAAGATTGCAAATAATAAAACTCGTCACAATTATAAACTGCCGGTTGTTAAATGTGCCAAAGGCTCTGATGAACTTACACAGTAACTTCTGAAAGCTGCTCCTTTGTGAGGTTGAGTGGATGGTTTATAACAGTTATGCCGTAGTCTTCTGCGTAATGATGTTCGGGTAGGTTTGCTCGCAGAATTGCATTGTTGGCAACATTCATAAATGCCACTATGGCATGCCAGCCTTTGTTGTTGAACCACACCTGGAACAGTGCATTACAATGAAACATTAAGAGAGATGGGGGGATCCTTCGGTACAAATCTGGCACCAGATCCTATGGTTCGAGAACAAGGTGACTTTTGAGACCACGTTTACATTAGCTCATCGTCTACCCAGCTGACTTCATATCCTGATTCATTAAAGCAGATTTAAAAAGTACGGCATAAGTTGGTGTGCCACAGTAAGAGCCACACGTCATAGTTTAATTCCTCCACTCCATTGGGCTATATGTTCAATCTTGGTTCATCAAGACGAATGCTATGTAAAGAATAGCTGCTTCCAAACACTGTAACCACAGGAGCACTTAAAGACCAAAGTGGCACATTTCCTAGCAATGGGCTACAGAGTAATGCTGGCAAGATGATTTAAAAATCCCAGATGATAATGTCTGAGAAGTCTTTGACAGACACCGTGAAGAGGGGGCCTCCCTCTGTCTAAATACCATAACTTTTTATTTTTTTCAAATTTCACTTGTGGTAAATGTTGCTGGATAACAAATCAGGTCAATCACAGCTGATGTGACAGAAAAGGATGCCATCGTCCTCCTTAGTCCATGCCAGTTTAGTTGTCTCAAATTAATGTACTGCACCATACAAGCCATTTATTGGCTTAAATACTTTAGTTATTCATTTATTTTGAAAAGAATTAAATTGCAATGGCCTGAGTTTTGAACTCACAGAGATGAAGAACATTAATATTGGGGAATGTAACATTATTTCTAACTTTGTCAAGCAATGAAATGATTTTTTAAATGGATTGTACTAGTGGCAGGTACTATATCCAGGGTGTCCGATAAAAATTCCATTCAGTGCTGATCATAGCTCAATTCTTCATCATCAGTCGACTGCAGGGCATTCGTGAGACCACATCTGGACAGTATTAGTGACCTTATTTTAGAAAGGATGGAAATCTGTTGAAGGCAGTCACTAAATTATGAAGGATTACATTTTTGAAGCCTCAAGGATTATGGGTGATGCCCCCCTCCTGGAACTATATATGCACAAAGAGCAGGAGTAGGCCATTCAGCCCTTTGAGCCTGCTTCACCACTTAATAAGATCTGACTGTAACCTCAACTCCACATTCCTGCAAACCCCTGATAATCTTTCAACCATTTGCTTAACAAGAATCTATCCACCTCTGCCTTAAAAATATTCAAAGACTCTGTTTCTTCTGCCTTTCCAAGAAGAGAGTTCCAGAGATCACGACCTTCTGTGAGATAAAAACTCACCACTTCTCTGTTTTAAATGGGCGAGCCCTGATATTTAAGCAGTGACCCCCAGTTCTAGATTCACCCAGAAGAAGTAGTATCCTCTGGACATTTACCCTGTCCAGGAAATCTCCAGAATTGTGTTTCAATTAAGTCATCTCTTATTATTGTAAGCTTCAGTGGATACGACCTTTCCTCATAGGACATTCCCACCCTTGGTCTGATGATTAATAGGTAGAAAAATAATTACCACGTAAATAAAAAAGTCCAAGTACACACATATATATATTAAAACTTCATCTAAGAAATATAAATACTCCTGAAATAACAATGTTAGACATTACAACTTGCATTTTCATGTGCTCTGGCTTTAGGGCTCAGTTAAATCTTTTCAATAATTTATCTTTCCTGGAGGATGTCAGATTACAGAAACTGACCTTGACGTTATCTTCAGTCTCCAAATGCTTCAGGAAAACATTCAGACTTCTAAACGTCATCTGTGTATTATTGCCCTATTATGCAAAATAAACAAGTTAAACATACTGGCAATCACTGGGAGTACTGTATTAGGAATGTTGTAAAAGTAATATACAAGTAATGAAAGGAGTTTTCTGTCACTAGAGGGAGCCATGAACATAGCCTGCCAATTTGATATGGTACCTTTACAATCTGCTCATGTGTGTTTAGAAGTTTAACACTGAATTAGTCATAAAGACATAGAAATGTACAAACAGAAACAGACCCTTCCGTCCAACTTGCTTATGTCATGTCGACCAGATATCCTAAATAAATCTAGTCCCATTTGCCAGCATTTGGCCCATATCCCTCTAAACCCTTCCTATTCATATATCCGTCCAGAGATAGTAGGAACTGCAGATGCTGGAAAATCTGAGATAACAAGGTGTAGAGCTGGATGAACACAGCAGGGCAAGCAGCATCATAGGAGCAGGAAGGCTGACGTTTCGGGCCTAGAATTTTCTGATGAAGGGTCTAGGCCTGAAACGTCAGCCTTCCTGCTCCTCTGATGCTGCTTGGCCTGCTGTGTTCATCCAGCTCTACACCTTGTTATTTCATATATCCATCCAGTTGCCTTTTAAATGTTGTAATTGTACCCGCCTCCACCACTTCCTCTGGCAGCTCATTCCATACATGCACCAACCGCTGCACAAAAAGTTGCATCTGAGGTTGCTTTTAAATCTTTCCTTTCTCACCTTCAACCTGTGATGTGGAGGTGCTGGTGTTGGGCTGGGATGGACAAAGTCAAATCATACGATACCAGATTATAGCCCAACAGGTTTATTTGGGATCACAAGATTTTGGGTTATAACCTGGTGTCGTGTGATATTAGACCTATGCCCTCTAATTTTGGATTTCCCCACCCCAGGGAAAAGACCATGTCTAATTACCCTATCCATGCCCCTCATGATTTTATTAACCTCTATAAGGTCACCTCTCAGCCTCCGACGCTCCAGTGAAAATAGCCCCAGCCTATTCAGCCTCTCCCTATAGCTCAAACCCTCCAACCTGGTAACATTCTTCTAAATCTTTTCTGAACCCTTTCAAGTTTCACAACATCCTTCCTAAAGCAAGGAGATCTGACAATTTTCCTCCCCACCCTTATCTGCTTTCCAGAGGGACCACTCTCTCCGTGACTTCCTTGTCCGCTTCACACTCCCCACCAGCCCCACCACACCCGGCACTTTTCCCTGCAACTGCAGGAAGTGCTACACCTGCCCCTACACCTCCTCCCTCACCCCCATTCCAGGTTTCAAGAAAACCTTCCACATCAAACAGATGTTCACCTGCACATCGGCTAATGTGGTATACTGTATCCGCTGTTCCCATTGTGGCCTCCTCTACATCGGGGAAACCAAACGGAGGCTTGGGAACCGCTTTGTGGAACACCTACGCTCGGTTCGCAATAAACAACTGCACCTCCCAGTCGCGAACCATTTCAACTCCCCCTCCCACTCCTTGGACGACATATCCATCCTGGGCCTCCTGCAGTGCCACAACGATGCCACCTGAAGGTTGCAGGAACAGCATCTCATATTTTGCTTGGGAACCCTGCAGCCCAATGGTATCAATGTGGACTTCACAAGCTTCAAAATCTCCCCTCCCCCGACCACATCCCAAAACCAGTCCAGCTCGTCCCTGCCTCCCTAACCTGTTCTTCCTCCCACCTATCCCCTCCTCCCACCTCAAGCCGCACCCCCATCTCCTACCTACTAACCTCATCCCACCCCCTTGACCTGTCCGTCCTCCCTGGACTGACCTATACCCTCCCTAACTCCCCACCTACACTCACCTTTACTGGCTCCATTCCCGCCTCCTCTCCACTTATCTTCTCCTTTATCCATCTTCTATCCGTCTCCCCCTTTCTCCCTGTTTATTTCAGAATCCCCTTCCCCTCCCCCATTTCTGAAGAAGGGTCTAGACCCGAAATGTCAGCTTTCCTGCTCCTCTGATGCTGCTTGGCCTGCTGTGTTCATCCAGCTCTAACCTTGTTGTCTCAGTTTTCCAAAAGTAGCCTAACCAATGTCCTGTACAGTTGCAATACGACCTCCCAACTCCTATTCTCAATGCACTGACCAATAAAGGCAAGCATACCAAATGCCTTCTTCACTATCCTGTCTACCTGTGACTCCACTTTCAAGTAACAATAAACCTGTTGTCCAAGGTTACTTTGATCAGCAACACTCTCCAGGACCTTACCATTCAGTGTATAAGTCCTGCCCTGATTTGCCTTTCCAAAATGCAGCACCTCACATTTATCTAAATTAAACTCCATCTGCCACTCCTCAGCCCATTGGCCCATCTGATAATGATCCCATTGTACTCTAAGGTAGCCTTCTTCACTGTCCACTATACCTCCAATTTTAGTGTCATCTGCAAACTTATTAACCATAACTCCTGTGTTCACATTCAAATGTTCACATGTAAATCCTGTCTCTCAGGATTCCCTCCAACAACTTGCCCACCATTGACGTCAGGCTCACTAGTCTAAAGTTCCCTGGCTTTTCCTTACCACCTTTCTTAAATAGTGGCACCACGTTTGCCAACTTCCAGTCTTCTGGCACGTCACCTGTGGCTATCAATGGTACAAACATCTCAGCAAGGGGCCCAGCTATCACTTCCCTAGCTTTCCACAGAGTTCCAGGGTACACCTGATCAGGCCCCAGGGATTTATCCACATTTATGCATTGTAAGCCTTCCAGCACCTCCTCCTCTGTAATATGGAACTTTTTCAAGATGTCGTTATTTATCTCCCCACATTCTATGTCTTCCATATCCTTCTCTGCAGTAAACCTAATGCAAAATACTCATTTAGTGTCTCCCCCATCTCCTGCGGTTCCACACATAGGTGGCCTTGCTGATCTTTAAGGGACCCTATTCTCTCCCTAGTTACCCTTTTATCCTTAATGTATCTGTCGAATCCCTTTGGATTCTCCTTAACCCTATTTGCCAAAATTATTTCATGTCCCTTTTTTGCCCTGCTGATTTCCCTCTTAACTATACTCCAAGTGCTTTTATACTCTTCAAAGGATTCACTCGATGTCTGCTGTCTATACCTGATACATGCTTCCTTCCTTTTCTTGACCAAAACCTCAATTTCTCTAGTCATCCAGCATTCCTTACACCTATCAGTCTTGCCCTTCACCCTAACAGGAACATATTGTCTCTGAACTCTCGTTATCTCATGTTTGAAGACTTCCCATTTTCCAGCTGTCCTTTTACCTGCCAACATCCGCCCCCAATCAACTTTTGAAAGATCTTGCCTAATACTGTAAAAATTGTCCTTCCTCCAATTTAGAACTTTAACTTTTAGATCCAGTCTATTCTTTTTCATCTCTATTTTAAAACCAATAGAATTATGGTCATTGGCCCCAAAATGCTCCCCCACTGACACCTCAGTCACCTGCCCTGCCTTATTTCCCAAGAGTAGGTCAAGTTTTGCACCTTCTCCAGTAGGTACATCCACATACTGAATCAGAAAATTTTCTTGTGCACACTTAACAAAATCCTCTCCATTCAAGCCCTTAACACTACGGCAATCCTAGTCTATGTTTGGAAAATTAAAATCCACTACCATTACTACCCTATTATTCTTATAGATAACTGAGATCTCCTTAAAATTTGTTCCTCAATTTCCTGCTGATTATTGGGAGGGTCTATAACACAATAAGGTGATCATCCCTTTCTTATTTCTCAGTTCCACCCAAATAACTTCCCTGGATGTATTCCTAAGAATATCCTCCCTAAGTACAGCCATAATGTTATCCCTAATCAAAAACACCACTTCCCCTCCTCTCTTGTTCCCTTTTCTATCCTTCCTATAGTATCTATACCCTGGAACATTAAGCTGCCAGTCCTGTCTATCCCTGAGCCATGTCTCTGTAAATGCTATGATATCCCAATGCCATGCTCCCAACCTTGCCCTGAGTTCATCTGCCTTACCTGTCAGGCCTCTTGCATTGAAATAAATGCAGTTTAATTTATCAGTTCTACCTCGTTCTCTGCTTTGTTCCTGCCTGCCCCTGCCCTGACTGTTTGACTTACTCCTTTTCCCAACTATACCAGTCTTAGACTGATCTCTTTCCTCACCATCTCCCTGGGTCCCACCCGCTTACTAGTTTAAATCCTCCCGAGCAGCTCTAGAAAATCTCCCTGCCAGTATATTATTCCCCTTCCAATTCAGGTGCAATCCGTCCTTCTCATACAGGTCACTTCTACCCCAGAAGAGATCCCAATGATCCAAAAATGTGAATCCTTCTCCCCTGTATCAGCTCCTCAGCTACGCATTCATCTGCTCTATCCTCCTATTCCTACCCTCACTAGCTCATGGCACGGGGAGTAATCTAGATGTTACCATCCTTGAGGACCTCCTTTTTGAATTCTTGCCTAACTTTCTACATTGTCTCCTCAGAATCTCATCCTTTTCTCCTCCGATGTCATTAGTTCCAATGTGTACAACAACCTCCTGCTGGTTCCTCTCCCCCTTTGAGAATATTCTGCACCCCCTCCGAGATATCCTTGATCCTGGCACCAGGGAGGCATCACATCATTCTGATGTCTCGTTGTTGGCTGCAGAAAGGTCTGTCTGTGCCTCTGACTAGAAAGTCCCCTATCACAATCGATTGTTTGGAACCTAACATACCCCTCATTACATTAGAGCCAGTCTCAGAACCTGAAACATAGAAGCCCTCCGTAGATTAGGTCCATTGCCCCAACAAGACCACGCCCACTCTCTGAAGAGCATCCCACCCAGACTCACCCCCCCATTACCCCATCCCTGCATTCCTCACGGCTAATCCACCCAATTTTACATACCTCCGGACACTCTGGGCAATTTAGCATGGCCAATCCACCTAACCTGCCCATCTTTGGACTGTGGGAGGAAACCGGAGCACCCGGAGGAAACTCATGCAGACACGGGGAGAATGTACCAACTCTACACAGAAAGCCACCCGCGGCTGGAATCGAACCCAGGTCCCTGGCACTGTGAGGCAGCAGTGCTAACCACCGAAACCTGGCTGTTAATGCTACATTCTGCTGAGAGTCCATCACCCCCTACATTTTCCAAAACAGCATACTTGTTTGAGATGGGGATAGCCACAGGATACTCCTGCACTACCTGCCCTCCCCCTCCTACTTTTCCTGGAGGTCACCCTGACTGTATCTTCGGTTTATCTTCCTCCCTACAATTGCGATCCATCATACCCCCTAGCTCCTGTAAATTCGTCATTGCTTCTAACTGTTGCTCCAAACAATCCATGCAATCCAACAGGATTCACAACCAAGCATACTTCCTGCAGACATAATCATCAGTAAACATGGAAACTCTCCCTGATCTTCCACATCTGACAGGAAGAGCACATCACTCTACTAAAGGCCATCTTTGCACCTGTACGATCTATAGACCCGGAAAATAACACAGCATTACTGCTCTAAAAAACCCTCCTCTAGGCTAATTTAGTACCTATGTTTTATATTTTTAATGTTTAATCAAGAGACAGATCTCAATAAAACTTGTCAGTGTTTTACCTGTTCTTTTTTATATAATCGACACTGACAAATATTTATATTGCTTGTATTTAAGAAGGACATTTCTCTGCCTGAGAGAAGAAATTTCAACAGATTTTGAAGTTAAAGATACCCTAGACCCATTTCTCATTAGAGAGAGACAAGTCAGATGGTGGTTTAACCTGAGGGTCACCATGTCTCAGGTGAAGGGAGAGGTTGAGATGGAGAATTTTCCTGGTAACCTTAGCTGGTGTGAGAAATGAACTCATGCTGTTAGCATCACTCAGCATTGCAGACCAGACATCCAGCCAACTGAGCAAACTAACTGATCTCCTTTAGGGAAGGAAACTGCCATCCTTACCTGGTCTCGGCTACAAGTGACTCCAGACCCACAGCAATGTGATCAACTCTTAACTGCCCTCTGGGTATCTAGTGATGGACAATAAATGTTGGCCTAGCCAGCAACCCCCTCACCTTGTGAGTGAATGAAAAAAACCCTATCCCTCCTTCCAGGGCCAATGCTCAGTGGCAGCAGCATGTGCCATCTACAAGATGCACTGCAATCACTCACCAAGGGTCATTAGACAGCACCTTCAAAACCCATAACCTCAACCATCTCAAAGGACAAGGGCAGCACATATTTGAGTGGACCACAACCTGCAAGTTCCCTTCCAAGCGACACACTGTCCTGACTTGGAATTATATTGCTGTTCCTTCCTGAAACTCTCTTCCAACAGCACTGTGAAGGTGGCTCACCATCATCTTTTCCAGGGCAGTTAGTGCTGGGCATTAAATTCTGGCCTAACCAGTGATGCCCAAATAATGTGAATGAATAAAACAAAGTCAGAAGAGAGACAGACGACACAGGGACTAGAGAACACGTACTGCATGGGAACTGACTGTACTACCTCACAAAGCACAAGGGAACAGAGGAGTAGAAAGGACCAACTCTGCCCCAGTCATTCTGAGGGCTGAGATTGCACAAGATTGAAGAGTCACATTGATAAGCCCCAAGATCACTGGCAAAATGCTGAAGTACACTTTAACATGGTTGATGGACTTACCATTTAAAACTGTTGACTTGTCAGCTGCACAGAAGTTGCATCTTAGGTCCCTTTTAAATCTTTCCCCTCTCACCTTAAACCTAGGATGTGGAGATGCTGGTGTTGGGCTGGGGTGGACGAAGTCAAAAATCTCACGACACCAGGTTATGGCCCAACAGGTTTATTTGAATTTTTGGCTGTTCACTGTACTTAGGTACACGTGACAGTAAATGAAACCAGTCACTCAGAGTCTGCTTTTTACTAGTTTTGAAGAAAGTATGTGGAGTGTAGAAGGAACGGAGGGAGGGAAGAGGATAGAATTCTGGAACTAATTCAAAATGGGTCTGGTGAATGAGCTAGCAAACATGATGGGCCAAATGGTGTCATTCTATGCCATTCACTTTTGGTAACAGCTTCCTTGTTTAGGTAAATGCCACCAAGTGAAATAAGACACAATAAAACAATCACAGCAGCCTAAAAGGAAATGCAGTTTGCAATGGTTGAAATAAGTGCATATGTGACCTACCCCAGTGACATTGAACATACGACCCAAATTGGTAAAAAGGACATCGATCTGTTTATGGTCGACGTGTAAAACTGGAAGCTTTCCCCCGACTGAAATCCCACCGTACCTAGAATGTTAAAACAACACAACATCGAGATTGCAATTTGTGTCCCTCATTCTCTAAAATATCAGCAATTACACCAAATATTTTCAAATCATTTCTGTCTCTGTATCAAAACATAAACTCTCTTACTATTGGAATCCAATAACAGAACGGGGCAACGTCCTTTGCCAATTGTGAGACCACCTCTGCCATTCAATTTGGGATGGTGAGGTCAATGGTGGGGTTCCTGAGGCCCAGTCAGAGTTCCCAAAACTGTGGCAGGCCAAGAGAGAGGTGGGCACTGCTGAAGCAGGTTGGTTAGAATGAGGGCACCTCGAACCAGAGGCACTCTCTGCAGCATTCTGGAACTTTAACATGATGGGCAGGAGGTAAGAGCTCTAGCTGCAACTCATTGCAGTGGGTCTAGGCTGCAGGAGTCGAGAGGAGATATTGATGGCCCTTGGTCTACCACCAGGATGCCAGCTCCAGTTACCTGCTGAACTCCAGTCTCAAACAGGGGTCCCATTCGACAAGCAATGTCATCAACTTTCCCCCATTGGCCCCTTAATGGACGCAATTGCCTAACTGTCACTGTATGTTGGCACCACCTCTGGCAAGATGGCTCAAATGTGGGAACATGTTGGACGCCAAGACATTATTTTCCAATAAAAACTAAAAAAAACTATGGACACTGTAAATCAGGTAAAAAAAACAGAAGTTGCTGGAAACACTTAGCAGTTCTGGCAGCAACTGTGAAGAGAAATCAGAGTTAATGTTTCAGGTCCAGTGACCCTTCCTCAGTTCTGATTTCTCTCCACATTACTTTCTGAGTTTATTCCTGCCCCACCTCAACGCCCATCTCTGAAGGCCTGGGAGTATTTCGTCCTGTGTTGTCGTGTGTAATACCAGAAGACGCACTGCAACAAATTGCCAAGGCTTCCCTGGCAACACAATCCTACCTCAGAGCAGAAGGAACACTGAAGGAACTACAAGTTAGCCTCGATGTCACACACCAGGCAGAGGTAGAAATGGTTCTTCATCTTGTACTGAGTAAATGTCCCGGAATTTTCTCTCTAACTGCGCCATGGAAGGACTTTGACCACTGTGGTTCAAGAAGAGGGTCACCGCCACATTATTAAGTACAACTAGACCGGACAACAAATGAATTTAAAAATGCCCTTTGTTTGTGCTCTGCTTCGTATCTCTCCACTTTAACAACTCAAGTCACATGGATTGATTGACCCATGACTATCGGCGTCATTTCTATAAGTGTCAATGGGAATGGGGAGACAGTGGGAATATGACAAGGAGACAGAGGGTCAGGCACAATCAAGCTGAATGGTAGAGCAGTGTTGATGGGCTGCTGCTGTGCCTGTTTTCTATGTTTCTAACTGATTACGAATATATTTATCACAAATCCAGAAATTGCTGGATGCACTCTACAATGTGATACAATCCGTGGAAAGCACCGGTTTTTTGATGGTTTGGATGTAGATCAGTGTTTCCTCAATTGTTTCTCATTGTGTACTCATTTTGGTGCTTGAAGGTTGCTGAGACTCAAGGACTATGAGATCAGAAAGGAGACGAGTGAGACAGAGGGTCAGGGGCGTACTGAGGGATGGTGTGTTTAATCCAAATGGTATTTAAGTAAAAAGCACCTCGTTCCTCATTAGGTTTTTAAGGACAGATATTCAGGCCTACAAAATCAGGCAGCCAGGCCATCTCTACATTATAAATGTATGATTTAAAGGGGCCTCACAGCTATTAGCACTTGGTTGGAGCTCTACAACAGTCACTGCTACATCAGAGTCCATACTCCAAATTTTGGACTGGCGACCCCAGTGGACATCACATCCCACAGTTCGGGTCTAGCTGCTTTGTCAACTCCTGTGTCCATCTACAGGTGATTCCTGCTGAGGGTCTTCAGCATTTTCTGTTTTTGTCTCACATTTCCAGGTTCTGCTGTGCTTTAATTTAGCTTTCTGAATTCACCACTGACTGCTTTACGGATGTAATTCGGAAACTATGCACGGAAACTATGCCGTACAATAAAAATAAATAGATGAATGACTATTAAAATAGCAGAGAAATTTGATCTGAACATTTTAAGTGTTCAGATGTTATCGCACAGCATAACTTCCAGGTTGTAATCATGAAACTTCAATCAGGTAACCCATATTGTGTGTAATATATTCACATTGAGGTCCGCTTCTACCCATTTATGTCAAGAATCGACCTGACAGCTGTGATTTACAAATTGTGAAGAAAACAATTCAATACCTTTGTTCATTGACCCAGTACTTGCTCTTCATGCTGAAATTATAGAAGAAAGTGAGAAAGGTTAATCTTCACAAACTTTTAGAACCTTTTCCAAAATCAATTGTTAGATGACGACCAGATAATTTCATTCTAATGGCCCAGGGGGTTTGGTATTTATATTGACTGCTCTGCTGCCAGTGTTCACAGCTATGAAAATGGGAGGAACCTCTGGTGCCTGTCGATCTGGGTTTGCAGGCAGAAATCACAGAGAATGTCCTCCACATGACACACTGGTAAGTCCCAGCAGACGGCAATTTTAAGAAATCAGGTGAACCTTTCCTTTTATGCTGCCATATTTTGCAAAAAAACAGATCCTGGAAAGTTATCCCTTGCTGAATTGAAGTGAAACTGGGACTGTAACGGCAAGAGTGTCATAACTACTTATAAGCAATCTCTCTAGCCCTGAAAATCCACTTTGCACAACATCTAATTTCCAGTTTATGATAGAACAATTACATTTTTAGTGTAGCAGTTTTTGTTAAGTTTGTTTATGCCTTAGCTTCTACTTTATTCCTTTGTATGGATCTCAAACTTCTTCCCACTATCTTTAAAATTTATAAATGTGTGAATGATAATCAATGCATTTTACTTCTTGAGTTGCTGTCCTGAGAATCTTTCAATGTGATTAACTGCTTAGCCTGCTTGATGACATCATTAACTTGGATGTCTGACTTGGCAAAACCCATACGGCAATGATTGTTAATTCCAAGGTTAGTGGCAAACATCACCACCGATCGCAAATTTCTGTCTCCCTCCATTAAGTTGCTGAGATGCAAAAATTTCTGTTTGTGAATTTTTGCGACAGAAGGATTTGGAGACATGTATAGAATGGCTCATACCTGCTTTTTATTAGTTTCGAGTATGTTTTGACCAGGAAGTCTGATATATTTCTTTGGGTGAGATTTTGCAGGATGTCAGTTGTGTGTTGGACTCTCTGTAATGGAGAAAGCAATTCATTTTGTGACAAGAGGTACAATTCGTTTTAGGTTTTATACATTAAACTGCATTTAATAAAGAAAAGAAAAACAAAACAAAGTGCTGGAAATGCTACAAAAACAAAGTTGCTGGAAAAGCTCAGCAGGTCTGGCAGCATCTGTGAAGAAAAAAAATCAGAATTAATGTTTCGGGTCCGGTGACCTTTCCTCGGAAATACTGGCAGTGTTTCTGTGGAAAGTGAAACAGAGTTAAACTTTTAAGTTTTCTGTTTAGAATGGACATTAGATCTGATGCAAGGTTATCTTGAATATTAACACTCTTTCATTCCTCACAGATGCTACCTGTCCTGCTGAGTATTTCCACCACATTTTTGGCTTTTTATTTCAGATTCCCGGGATCTACAGTATATTGCATTTATATTATGCAATACGAAGTTGGACTTGCGCAAAATTCTCTTTGTTCATTTTCTTTAGTAGCCGAGATAATATTGAACAGTATGTCACCAAGATGTTGTGACACTACTGCCCTTATCACCTTATCATCTCTCTCTCGCACACACATGCGCGCGCACACACATACACACACACACAAGAAAAGCCTGTGATTAATACCTGTGCTGGAGGAAGACCACCAGCTGCTGCAGGGCAGTCTGGGAGCATAATCAATCGATTTCCTGTACTGCACTGGCAGGATGGTGAAGGGTTGCTTTTGGAATAGAATGGGGACTGCAGCACGTTGACAATCGTGGGGTCACTTTTTGGAATCTTCCAATCAGACGATTGATTACTGCAGGGATAACCTCTGTATGAAAACAAATACAAAACAATAGTGCGAGATGCATGCAGGAACTTGAAGCTGGGTTTCTTACATTAAAATATACTTAGCTTGCTCTTAAGGACAGCATATGGGCTGGAATTTTCCAGGTCTTTTGGCAATCAGCTGGGAGATAGGAAAGGTGACAGATTTTGGCAGCCCATCAGATTGCTGATTGAGCCACCGAAGTGACCAGCAAGAGGCCATGTTCCTTGTCATTTTGACCACGCCAAGGAAATCTCGCAGCTATGTGGAGAAATCAGCCTCTGAAACCTGGGGGCCTCCAAGCAGTTTCAGGCGAGGGCACCTTCCTGTATGGACACTTCTATTGCCCAAGGAGAGACAGCTTATTGGCAAGGTCTGTCCCTATGGAAATAGCATTGCTGGTGCTCCTTAACACCAAACCATATCCCAATCCCAGGACCTGGGTACCAGGTACCAGTTTCCCCAATTCTACCCTAACTCTCTTCAAGTGGCTTCGCTATCAAATCTGCATTCTGATGAATAATGAATGATTAATTTATTGTCACATATATTTTGAAGTTACAGTGAAAAGTATTTTGCCACCAGAATCTGGCACCTTTTTGCGGTACAATAAGGATAAAAAGAAATGACTTAAATAAAAGTTCATCTTCTGTTCAAAGTGGGGTCTCAAACATGACTTCAGGGCTTCAAGAGGTCCTGCCCTGGGAACTTCAATGACGACACTGACCCCCTGGCTCTGCTACAACAGCCTCCAGGAGCCCAGGCTCCAGTCCTACTACTGCTGGGGGTCCAGGCTCCAGGCTTGCCACTGCTGGGAGAGCAGGCTCCAGTCCTACTACTGCTGGGAGTCCAGGCTCCGAGCACTCTACCCCTGGGAGTCCAGGCTCCGGGCCTACCACAACAGGAGTCCCCATCCAGGCCGTAGTCACTGCCCAGCTGACAGCACTCGGACTCTTACAAAGGATGTCAGTAATCTCAGCAACAGCCAGCACTAGCAGTGGAACTATTGAAGCACAGCCCTTTTGATGGACTGGAATGTCTTGGTTGCAGATTGCCATCTTTAATTGGATGCCAGCCCCTCAGATTTGGCTGCCACAAGAAATTTGCTGCTCCAGGTTGCCTCCTACTGGCCAAAGCCCAGGTTGTGGAATGTCACACCCCTCATGAACATTTAGTCCATGACATTAGAAAAGGAAGTGACAACATGAATATAAAACAGTATCAACTGTCTTACACAATGGGATTCTCCCTCATGCACCGAGTCCCAAATCCAGGCTTATTCACCAGCGCCTCTGTCAACTGATCCATCTTCTTATTCCATGGACGTTCGTTGCTAAGAAAACAAAGAGAACAAACATATTATAGAACAAATGCACACAATGAAAATTAAGACTAACAGGTTTTTCCTTGACCATTTTTCCAAAGTCAAAAGATTTAAAGTAACATAGCCTTGTTTAACATAGATCTAAGGATTAAGTGAGGGGGTGGCCCCATTAGTGTACACAGTTTGTACTTATTTCTTAGGTGTTAGATTTCTGTCTGAATTTTCTGGGGCTCATACCTTATAAAGCGTGCTGTCAAATAAACATTAAAGCCGATCATCAGGGTATACTGATGCCAACAATCTGAGATAAATGCACCAGTGGGAATATGATTTAAATTTTATATGCTACCTCCATTTAAACTTAAACAGCCCACAAAAACAAAAATCTTTACATTGCTGCAAATTACACATAATGCTGTACCTGCATCATTTTCAAAAACAATAAAAATAATTATAACACAAATGTGTACAAATATGAATTTAAACATTACATGTTAATGATCAAAAGTGTTAATATTTTTCAATTCTTACTTGTTTTTTTTAATGTATCAAATTTAAATGACGTGAAATTACATTAATATAATTGACAGTTTCAAATGATGCTAAAAATGGTTTAAAATCAGAGTGCACGGAAGGACTTTGGATGCTGTAAGTCAAAGATCTGCAGTCATAAGTCACAGCCTCAAAACACTGGAAAGTGCTTTGCAGTCAACGAATTACAGTTGGTGTTGTTCCTGTACGCTGCAGTCATTGTGTGCAGGCAGCAAGGGGGTGAATGACCAGTTAATTTGCTTCAGAGACAGGGATGAGTGGTGGCTGGAAGACTTTAAAAGGGTTACCCTGATTTCCTTTGAGAAAGAACGCCATGAGGTCTTTAATCCCGATTTGTAAAAACCGATGCAACGTATTGCCCCTTCTGAAAGACAGCACATCTGACAATACAACTCGTCTTCAAGTTTCTCAAACCTCTATCTAATACAAGAGCATTGAATGTTTGAGCTTAAATTATGCTTTCACATCAGAAATTTCTGACTTGGATAGGGGATGCTAACATTGAGCCAAGATGTTATGAATGTGATATTTAGTATTATTTTCTTGTCTACAAATTAAGTTGTTCTAAGATGAGAGTGGAGAGATACAAAAGGGTTCAGACAGGCAATTTCTTCACACAGCGGGTGGTGAATGTCTGGAATTGGGCTGCCAGAGGTAGTGTGGAAGTGAGTACAATTTTGTCATTTAAGAAACATTTGAACAGGTACGTGGATGGGGATGTGGAGGGATATGGACCAAATGCAGACAAATGCGACAAGATTAATTGCGAAAACTGGGTGCATGGACAAGTTAGGCCACAGGACCTGTTTCCATGCTATAGACCTCTATGGCTCTATGACTTAATCTTAAAACACTTGAAATTGTTGGAAAGAGTTTGAATAATCCTACCTGAAGAAAGTGTACTGTTTGCCATACATCCACTGGTGAATGGTTAAACTTTGATATTCCCCAAATGGTGGGATTATGAGTGAGAAGATCAAAGCTAACAGCACAAAGTTCGCAGGCAGGAGAAACTGTTGAAAGAAGAAATTTAAGTTCAACTTGGTGCTGAATCAATTACAAATCTGTATAGTCAGTAAAACCAGTTAATGTTTCACAACAGTAAATGTGGTTGTCTTCACCTTTGAAAATTATAGCTGGTTGTACCCACTACAATACATAATATAAAACATATATACTTGGAAAGCTTTCAGAGTAAAACAAAACACTTCACAGCTAATGAGTGTAATAACAACAAAAGCCTGCATTTATATAATGCCTTTAACATAATTAAACATCCCAAGTTTCTTCACTGGAAGGTTATCAATCAACAGTTGACATTAAGCCACAGGAAAGTTTAGCTATGTAAGAAGCAAATGGCATTCGATGAAGAAAAGCGTGAGATGATGCATTTTTATCTCGGACAAATAATATAAAACAAGGGGCACAATACTCAAGGGGATGTAGGAGCAGAGGGACGTGGGTGTATATGTATATATTTCACTGAAGGTGGCAGAACAGTTAGGGATAGCAGTTAATAATGCATACAATATCTTGGGCTTTATTAACAGGGGCATTGGGTACAACAACAAGGAGGTTACGCTGAACTCATACAAGACATTTGTTAGGCCTCAGCCTGATGATTATACACAGTTTGGGACACCAACACCATAGAAAAGATGTGACTGCATTGGCGAGAGTGCAGAAGAGGTTTACCAGAATGGCTCCAGGGAATAGATACTTCATTGTGAACATAGATTGGAGAGGTTGGAATTGTTCTCCTTGGAGACAAGGCAGCTAATGGGAGATCTGATAAAAGATTTCAAAATCGTCAGAGGTCTGGATAGAGAAGATAAACTGTTCTCACTTGCAAAAGGATCAAGATTAAGAGGGAATGATTTAGAGTGATTTGCAAATGTTGTAGATGTGGTGAGAGAAAAACTTTTCCATATGATGTGTGGTTCAGGTCTGGAAGTGTGGTGGAGACACCATTATTTGAGGCATTCAAGAGGAAACTGGATGATCATGTGAATAAAAGCAATGTGAAAGGGTGAGTGGAGGAGAATGGCATCAAGTTGGGCAGTTGTTAGAGATCTGATGGGCCGAATGTCCTCCCTCTACTCTGTAATTATCCTGTGATTCTGTGATGGACTGTCCCTGGAGGGGGACTGAAAGGTTGCATGGATTATATAAAGGGGCGGGAAGATAGAAGGTGGACAACATGTCACCTTCTCAACTGTCCCCAATTACACCTAGGGTGGCAAGGGTCAAGGATGGCTTCCCACCCAGAGGCTAGTGTATCAGTGACCCTGAAGTGATCACAGCCATCACTCCTTGTCATGCTGATGATACTGGAGAGCTCCCAACGTTTAATTCTCTGGGACATACTATCTGAAGATACCAAGCACCCCGTTATCAACCAGGTAAGTGTGTGATTGGCATTAAATAAGGTCCCAAGGCCTGGAACAGGCCCATTAAATGCTATCTAAAGTGTTTTGAATTGTCTATAACCTTTAAAAAATATTTGGATGGGCACTTGAAATGCCATAACATTCAAAGCTATGGGCCTAGTGTGGGAAAACAGGACTAGTGTAAGTAGTGGTGGTACAGACTTGATGGGCCAAAGGGCCTCTTCTGTCCTGTGTGATTCTGTGATTCAATGGGAATTCCAGAGTTCGAGGCCTAAGCAACCACAGGCAATGGTGCCAATGGTGGAGCAACTACAATCAGAGATACCCAACGGTCCAGGGCTGAAAGGGTACATGTTGGCATATCAGCTCCAGTGAGTGCTTTCATGAGGGGACGGACCCTGTGGTGCACTGACGGCACAAATGGGTGGCAGTAAAAATGGATTAAATTTATTTAAGTAACATTTTGTGTATTTGAAGCTACTGCAGTTTCCAGTTGTTCAATTGAAAAGCAATTGCAGCTGAAGTCGAAGCACATGTTGGGCACAGCTCAGATCAGTAAGGCCTGATACTGTTGATTGTACCTGGGCCAAGAAATCCTTCTGACTGCGAATAGCGTGGTTGAATCTCTTGATAAACAATGCTTTGAACTGCTGTTTGACCAGGTCTGAACCTTGGATCTGCCTGGAGCCTTTGCCATCATATCCACCTGGTTGGGGGTTGGTGGTAGCGGGGGCAGGAGACCCTGCAGAAGCTGGATCTGTACCTTCTGTCACCGCGTCGCCGTTTGGTTTCACCTCAGAGGCTGATGCTTTTCTTTCAACACTTTGGCCTTTCTCTGCTGCCTGTCCATTCTGAGAAGCCTCTTTAGATGCTAAATAGATTCAAAATGGTCCCAATTATTATAATTTTCAACAACATATTGCCTTTACTTATGAAACTTCATCTTATTATTTGATAAATTAAACAATATAAATTTGGAATGAATATGGAATGCAGAAATCTGTCTCCTGTCCTGGACTACGTTACACATTTTCCCAAATCATTGCAATTTGCATTGGCTCCTCCTTGCTCAGTTCATTGATTTCAAATCTTGTTTCCAATCCATAAATTATTTCAATTCTTTTCACAACCTCTTCCATTGTTCTGCACTTCCCTGAGTCCTTCACTCCTTCAATCTTGGGCCCCCATGCATCCCTCACTCCTGCTCTCCCATTCATCTCCTGGTAGCCGATATTTTCACTATTTTAACCCAATGCATTGGAAATCCTCCCTTCTTATCCTTTACCTCACTTCCTCTCTCCTCTCCGATTGAACAGATTGTGAAAACATATTCTCCTAGCTCCAAACCAGTTTTTCCAGATATCCCCCTCGACAGATTCTCTTGGAATAACAAAGTATTTGACAGATTCTAGTAATCCTTTTTGATTGTAGGTGAGGACATTTCAACAACTCATTTATATACCATTCTCTAAAGTGATGAAACAACTTGGGGCACTTCATAGCTGCATAGGCCACAAAACGTGACACTGAGCTACCCCTGGTTGATAACAGGACAGGCCATCAAGAATCTACATATGAGTTAGGAACTAGAGTAGCCTCAAGTATCAAGCCTGCTCTGTCAAAGAGGTTTGTTCAAAAGGTGACTCTTAAAGTAGGAAAGAGACTGGGAAATGTAGGGATGGAATTCAAGGGCCCAGTTACCTGATGGCTCAGTGAAAGAAATTGGGAATATCCAGAAGTGTAGCAATGTAGAATTAGAATTAACTTTATTGTCACATGTTCTCACATGAGTACAGTGAAAAGTCTTCAAAGTTGCTGCTTACGGCATCACCTTAGGTACAAAGTACCTAGGTACAGACCCTTAGGAATAAGTTAGACAATTAAAGAAGTAAAAAGTCCAGCATGGTATTGGTGGAGATGGCAGTATAAAAATGGAGAAGCTTAGGCTGAGATTTTTGGCTTCCTAAGTATTCTGTTTTTTGTTTGCCTTTAGGAGAGTATAATGAGGGCCAAATGGATCTCACTGACTATGAGATCCTTGATTGGAGTTGTTAACCTGGGCCAATCAGGGAGCGGTGGCTGACAGATCTAAACAGGAGACTCTTTTCATTCTAGGGACTGGCTCTGAGCTGGCTGGTCAGAGCCCATTGTCTGTCTGGATGTAAATAAAGGGTGAATTGGAGATGGGATACCTGCCTCATTGGAGTTATTTCAGAGAGGTTGTGTGCAACCAGAATGCTCATTGAATGAGGACATCAGATGATAGTTTATTTAGGGTCTTGTTAGGACATGATAGCTCAGTGGACTGTGTATAGTACTACCAGCTATGGACAGCCCTAGTAAACATTTAAAGCTTCCAACACCTAAAATGTGTTGAAATGAATCCATACAAAATGCTCACTTAAAGCCATGAGAATTAACGCTAAAACCTAGAAATGGATGAGAATTTATTTGAAAGTTGAAGCAAATGTTACTTTTTCAGGGAGGCTGCTTTTAATTCAAATTAAAAACATGGGATGCAGAACCTCAGTGGAAAGTGGTGAAGTATCCAGATGAAATAGTGAATAGAAGGGCCACAACAATATTCACTGAGATATGAGGAAAATCTGGAAAATGTTGTCTTTGAAACTGTGGTGTCTGAAACGTACATAAGATGGCAAAAGAAAGACTGAGAGCTGAATCTTATGTTTTTGGCTAAATCCGAGTCGCACTGAAATTTTTTGGAGCATATTTTGCTGTGAGGCCCTATCAAGTTCTATCTTTGCAAATTCGCCTCATCAATTGCCTACCCGTATGGCCTCTCTTATGTTCAAATTCTGACCCATCTTACCACATGCTGATCCTGGAACAACACAGCACTCAGTGGATATCCACCAAAACACTCACAGCAGTGGGTAGCACGGTGGCCCTATGGTTAGCACTGCTGCCTCACAGCGCCAGGGGCCCAGGTTCGATTCCACCCTCGGGTGAATGTCTGTGTGGAGTTTGCATATTCTTTCTGTGTGGATTTCCTCTGAGTGCTCCGGTTTCTTCCCACAGTCACAAAGATGTGCAGGTTAGGGTGGATTGGTCATGATAAAATTGCCCGTAGTGTTCAGGGATGTGTAGATTAGGTGGGTTATTTGGGGTGAGTCTGGGTGGGATGCTGTCAGGGTTGGTGTGGACTTGTTGGGCCGAAGGGCCTGTTTCCACACTGTAGGGATTCTAAGGTTCTAAACACTTGCATCCAAACCACTTTAAAAGCCTGGATGGACACTGGTATTCTGAAGCTACCCTGCTTGGTCAAGGAGAGAGTCAAAAGGGAATATGGTGCCGCAAATCTCTGATAGTTCCATGACCAACTGAATTGCATCTTTGCCCAGAGTTTGTAGTGCAAGTCCTGAAAGCTAAAGCACTGAGTCTCAGTGCCACTGCAGTGGTTGCAATCTGACCTCCAATACATTATGCCCTTAGTTTCTGAGAATGGGCTCATGGTCTGTGGTGCATCCCCTTGACTGACATGACTGGTTAGCCCAGGAGAAGACATGCCCAACCCATTGACTGCTCTCCAACTGCAATAGCCCCACCCCTGGGCTGGCCGTTACAGCACCAATGGAGTCCTAACTGAGAAACCACGTTCCTCACAACAGGACACTGACCGTAGCCAATCTCCTGGTCTGGTATTGGAGGCTGCCCGTGACTTACTGCACCAGGATCCCCTGATTGATGGGTGCTGCCATGATTTGCACTGAGGACTGCTGTTTGCTTGCTGCATGTGCACTGTGTTGGCCACGTAAGCTGCTAGCAGATGGTGGAGGAGTGAGATTGAACAGCAGGTGCTACATCTACAAGATGTGCAGGCTCTGGACTGAGAGCTGATCAGCAGCAAAGCAAGCTGCCTTCTGGTGTGACTGCACTAAGTGGCGAGGCGAGGCAAGGCAGGGAAGCTGTGAGCACGCAGATTGGTGAGCGAGTGCTATGAGAGAAAGTGAGCTAGCCTGAGCTGCAGCCTGGTCCAGTCTGAGATCCTGTCCACTTCCACAAAGTGTCATCACTACAGATATTCAGCGTTAGTCACTGACACACCTGTGATGTCCCACTGCATGCTGCCCATGAACGAACAGTCAAAGTGCAAGGATAGTTGTGACGGGTTGGCAGATGCCACATGTATGGATGAGGGGTGAGTGCACCTGATGTCTATGATTGTGCCCTGCAATGTAGTTTGGCCACAGGTAACATGGAAATTGATTGGAGCAAGCCACCATCTGAGCCTGCACACTCTGGTGCCACTTGGGGTGGCACGGTGGCTCAGTGGTTAGCACTGCTGCCTCACAGCGCCAGGGACTCAGGTTCGATTCCAGCCTTGGGTGACTGTCTGTGTGGAGTTTGCACATTCTCCCCGTGTCTGCGTGGGTTTCTTCCGGGTGCTCCGGTTTACTCCCACAGTCCAAAGATGTGCAGGTTAGGTGGTTGGCCATGGGAAATGCAGGGTTACAGATATAGGGTGCAGTGGGGTGGATCTGGGTGGGATGCTGTTAGGAGGGTCAGTGTGAACTTGATGGGCTGAATGACTTGCTTCCAAACTGTAGGGATTCTGTGGTTTCCTCGTCAAACTTTCCCATCACTGAGCTTGTTTGGTGAATTGTGGGGACAGGAAGGTGAGTTGGGAGGCTGGATATTAATATGGCGAGCTGGGCTGTTCACAAGGTTTAATCCCCATCAATTGGCATCTCACTGGGCAGTAGTGAGAATCTCGCCACACTGCTTGTGAAAAGCAGAAAAGATGGAACAAGATGATCCCCACATTGAGATGGGCCCCACTTGTCAAAATCTACCATGCATCTCGCCTCTGACCACGACACAATTCCACCCAGAAGTAATAAACTGCTGCAAATTAAATGGTGGCCATGGGAGAAAAATTCAATTGGAAAAAGGTTAATTGGGGACTAATACCAGAATTGAGAGCGTGGTGAGACTAAACACGACGGAAACGTTCAGATACTGTAATGGGGGAGACTGTTCTTTCTAGCTGGTTGAGCTAATAGCCTTCTTGATCCATATTTACTCGTGAATTAATAACAGCATTGGAGCAGGCCACTCGATAAAGATCATCAATAACAGAATGAAGTTGACAGCGGATGTTACTGAAACAAGGTACGTATTGTTGAAGTCTTTCATCCTGCAGTTACCCGGAAAAACACAAGAATGCCACATCTCAAACAGGCACAGTCATTCATACAACAGGAGAGAAGGATGCCAATTGATTAACACATCAACTGATGGACAAAACACTTTAACAACATGGCATCTTTTCAGCAATATTTAATTTCTGCACTACCAAGCGAAAATAGACAATTTAGTATTAAGTGGGAAAGTGCTTTGTACCAAAAGAATTCCTTCCCCTCTAACTATCAGATTAGAGTTGTGAAATTACATTTCAATGTAATTACATTTGCAGGCTACCAAAAATGCTGTTTTGTGATTCCATGAAAGTACGCATCTGGCAGCCTAATAATTATATGCAAATATAATTATGCAACTTCACATCAATGAGACATCACAGTTCCACAACCCTTTTGTTCTTCCGTTTAACTTGACTATAATTTAAAAGCATCTTCTGCACCAGACGTTTTCAAATGAATGTTTTCTGGATGATGATGATGAGAGGGTATTCTTGTTGTGGTATCGAGTCATGGATAGTGATTAAAGAACAGTCACTCCCTGCCCGATGGCTCAGCAGGTTTATTCAGGGAGAAACTGAGGCAAAAACACTGGCAAAGGCTGATGCCCGCACTGCGCTGAGGTAGCTCATCTGATCGAAAGTGGCAATACCCTCAACACCACAAGAGATTTTGGATTATGGAGGAGAAAAATAAAAAGCAGCCCTCAGCA